CCGCGAAAATTTTCAGCCTCCTCAACTTTCTGGGATCCGGATAACATCAACCAATTTTACCATTAGTTGACATCCCTTTCGCCCAGAAAATGCAAAAAACCACAAAAATTTTCCAATTTTGAAAACAAAAAGGGCATTTATATGGGTTTCCCGAAGGTTAATCCCACAAATTATATACGTATATTATGCAGAATTTTATTACCTTTAATTTGGTGAAAGAATGGTTGCTCTGCGACATCCCGTTCGCCCAGAAAATGCAAAAAAACCACAAAAACTTTTCAATCTTAAAAACAAAAAGGCATTTATATGGGTTTCCCGAAGGTTAATCCCACAAATTATATACGTATATTATGCAGAATTTTATTACCTTTAATTTAGTGATAGAATGGTTGCTCTGCGACATCCCGTTCGCCCAGAAAATGCTCTTTTTGTGTTTTTTCCGGAATTTTGATTTTCGACGCGAACAATTCAAATTTTGTCGAAATACCCGCGAAAATTTTCAGCCTCCTCAACTTTCTGGGATCCGGCTAACATCAACCAATTTTACCATTAGTTTTCGACCCGAAATTGAACAGGCACATACACACACATGCGCTCGTTCACATATGCAGTGTGTGTGTGTGTGTGTGCTCGCGTTTAATTTCGAGTCGAAAACTAATGGAAAAATTGGTTGGTGTTATCCGGATCCCAGAAAGTTGAGGAGGCTGAAAATTTTCGCGAGTATTTCGACATAATTTGAATTGTTCGCGTTCAATTTCGGGTCGAAAATTACAAATGTTAGCGGACCAGAAAACACAAAAAGGGCATTTTGTGGGTTTCCCGAGGGTTAATCCCAGAAATTATATACGTATATTATGCAGAATTTTATTACCTTTAATTTGGTTTACGACATTTCGCCCAGAAAATGCAAAAACCACAAAAATTTTCCAATTTTGAAAACAAAAGGGCATTTATATGGGTTTCCGAGGGTTTCATAAATTATATACGTATATTATGCAGAATTTTAATAAATGCAAGAAGCGACATCCCGTTCGCCCAGAAAATGTAAAAATCAATTTTAAAACAAAAGGGCATTTATATGGGTTTCCGAAGGTTAATCCCACAAATTATATACGTATATTATGCAGAATTTTAATACCTTTAATTTGGTGAGAGAATGGTTGTTCTACAACATCCTGTTCGCCCACAAAAATGCTCTTTTGTGTTTCTTTCCGCTAATTTTTGATATTTTCGACCCGAAATTGAACGCGAACAATTCAAATTTTGTCGAAATACCCGCGATTTTACCATTAGTTTTCGACCCTCATATCAACTTTCTGCGATCGTTCGAATAACAGTGTGTGTGTGTGTTTTCGCATTAGTTTTCGACCCGAAATTAAATTGGCGTGTTACACACACACACACCGCATATGGAACGAGCGCATTTGTGTGTATGTGCCAGTTCAATTTCGGGTCGAAAACTAATGGTAAAATTGGTTGGTGTTATCCGGATCCCAGAAAGTTGAGGAGGCTGAAAATTTTCGCGGGAAACCCATATATTTCGACAAAATTTGAATTGTTCGCGTTCAATTTCGGGTCGAAAATTACAAATGTTAGCGGTTATCCGGAACCAAGAAACACAAAAAGGGCAAGTATGTGGGTATCCTGAGGGTTAATGCCACAAATGATATACGTATATTATGCAGAATTTTCATACCTTTAATTTGGTGAGAAAATGGTTGCTCTGCGATATCGCGTTCGCCCAGAAAATGAAAAAAACCACAAAAAATTTCAAATTTTGAAAACAAAAAGGGCATTTATATGGGTTTCCCAAAGGTTAATCCCACAAATTATATACGTATATTATGCAGAATTTTATTATCTTTAATTTGGTGAGAGAATGGTTGCTCTACGACATCCCTTTCGCCCAGAAAATGTAAAAAACCACAAAAATTTTCCAATTTTGAAAACAAAAAGGGCATTTATATGGGTTTCCGAGGGTTAATCCCACAAATTATATACGTATATTATGCAGAATTTTAATATCTTTAATTTGGTGAAAGAATGGTTGTTCTACGTCATCCCGTTCGCCCAGAAAATGCAAAAAACCACAAAAATTTTTCAATTTTAAAAACAAAAAGGGCATTTATATGGGTTTCCCGAAGGTTAATCCCACAAATTATATACGTATATTATGCAGAATTTTAATACCTTTAATTTGGTGATAGAATGGTTGCTCTGCGACATCCCGTTCGCCCAGAAAATGTTAAAACCACAAAAATTTTCAATTATGAAAACAAAAGGGCATTTTTATGGGTTTCCCAAAGGTTAATCCCACAAATTATATACGTATATTATGCAGAATTTTAATACCTTTAATTTGGTGATAGAATGGTTGCCCTACAACATCGCAAAACCCACAAAAATGCTCTTTTTGTGTTTCTTTCCGCTAATTTTTGATATTTTCGATCCGAAATTGAACGCGAACAATTCAAATTTTGTCGAAATACCCGCGAAAATTTTCAGCCTCCTCAACTTTCTGGGATCCGGATAACACCAACCAATTTTACCATTAGTTTTCGACCCGAAATTGAACTGGCACATACACACACATGCGCTCGTTCCATATGCAGTGGTGTGTGTGTGTGTGAGCTCGCGTTTAATTTCGGGTCGAAAACTAATGGAAAAATTGGTTGGTGTTATCCGGATCCCAGAAAGTTGAGGAGGCTGAAAATTTTCGCGGGTATTTCGACATAATTTGAATTGTTCGCGTTCAATTTCGGGTCGAAAATTACAAATGTTAGCGGACCAGAAAACACAAAAAGGGCATTTTTGTGGGTTTCCCGAAGGTTAATCCCACAAATTATATACGTATATTATGCAGAATTTTAATACCTTTAATTTGGTGAAAGAGTGGTTACTCTACGATATCCCGTTCGCCCAGAAAATGCAAAAAACCACAAAAAATTTTCAATTTTAAAAACAAAAAGGGCATTTATATGGGTTTCCCGAGGGTTAATCCCACAAATTATATACGTATATTATGCAGAATTTTAATACCTTTAATTTGGTGAAAGAATGGTTGCTCTACGACATCCCGTTCGCCCAGAAAATGCAAAAAACCACAAAAATTTTCCAATTTTGAAAACAAAAAGGGCATTTATATGGGTTTCCCGAAGGTTAATCCCACAAATTATATACGTATATTATGCAGAATTTTATTACCTTTAATTTGGTGAGAGAATGGTTGCTCTACGACATCCCGTTCGCCCAGAAAATGCAAAAAACCACAAAAATTTTCCAATTTTGAAAACAAAAAGGGCATTTATATGGGTTTCCCAAGGGTTAATCCCACAAATTATATACGTATATTATGCAGAATTTTAATACCTTTAATTTGGTGAGAGAATGGTTGCTCTACGACATCCCGTTCGCCCAGAAAATGCAAAAAACCACAAAAATTTTCCAATTTTAAAAACAAAAGGGCATTTATATGGGTTTCCCGAAGGTTAATCCCACAAATTATATACGTATATTATGCAGAATTTTATTACCTTTAATTTGGTGAGAGAATGGTTGCTCTACGACATCCCGTTCGCCCAGAAAATGCAAAAAACCACAAAAATTTTCCAATTTTGAAAACAAAAAGGGCATTTATATGGGTTTCCCGAAGGTTAATCCCACAAATTATATACGTATATTATGCAGAATTTTATTACCTTTAATTTGGTGACAGAATGGTTGCTCTACGACATCCCTTTCGCCCAGAAAATGCAAAAAACCACAAAAATTTTACAATTTTGAAAACAAAAAGGGTATTTATATGGGTTTCCCGAAGGTTAATCCCACAAATTATATACGTATATTATGCAGAATTTTATTACCTATAATTTGCTGAGAGAATGGTTGCTCTACGACATCCCGTTCGCCCAGAAAATGCAAAAAACCACAAAATTTTTCCAATTTTGAAAACAAAAAGGGCATTTATATGGGTTTCCCGAAGGTTAATCCCACAAATTATATACGTATATTATGCAGAATTTTATTACCTTTAATTTGCTGAGAGAATGGTTGCTCTACGACATCCCGTTCGCCCAGAAAATGCAAAAAACCACAAAAATTTTCCAATTTTGGAACAAAAGCGCATTTATATGGGTTTCCCGAAGGTTTTCGGGTCGAAAACTAATGGTAAAATTGGTTGCAGAATTTTATACCTTTAATTTGGCTGAAAGAATGGTTGCTCTACGACATGAATTGTTCGCGTTCAGAAAATGCAAAATTACAAATTTTAGCAATTTTGAAAACACAAAGGGCATTTATGTGGGTTTCCCGAAGGTTAATCCCACAAATTATATACGTATATTATGCAGAATTTTAATACCTTTAATTTCGTGAAAGAATGGTTGCTCTACGATATCCCGTTCGCCCAGAAAATGCAAAAAACCACAAAAAATTTTCAATTTTAAAAACAAAAAGGGCATTTATATGGGTTTCCCGAGGGTTAATCCCACAAATTATATACGTATATTATGCAGAATTTTAATACCTTTAATTTGGTGAAAGAATGGTTGCTCTACGACATCCCGTTCGCCCAGAAAATGCAAAAACCACAATTTTAAAACAAAAAAATGGGTTTTTTCCAAATTATATAATTTTAATAACAAAATGGGCATTTATATGAGTTTGAAAATTTTCGCGGGTATTTCGACATAATTTGAATTGTTCGCGAGGGTTAATCCATAATAACAAAAGGGCATTTATATGAGTTTCCCGAGGGTTAATCCCACAAATTATATATGTATATTATGCAGGATTTTAATACCCTTAATTTGGTGAAAGAATGGTTGCTGTACGACATCCCCTTCGCCCAGAAAAATGCAAAAATACGGGGTGTATTCCACACCAACATTTCAAAATTTAAAAAAAGGAAATTTAGGGAATACAAAGAATATGTATGTTGCAGAAGGGATTACCTATTAAAAACCAATTCCTTGGGTGATAAAAAACGTAACTTGTATAAATTATTTGATAATTTCTTTATTGAATCGTTAATTCAAAGATAAAATATCAATTGGATAATATGAGTAAACATAACAAGAGTATATTCGAGTGTAACTAAAGTGTTAACATTAAAATTTGTTTAATTTTAATCGATATTAACGTATATGTTTGTTTGACTAATGAATACATAAGATATATTTGGAAATCTGCCAATAGTTCCAAGCAAATCGCGCGTTTGCTGATATGCTTGCTCGTTGCAAATGCGAATTTCGCCAAGAAAAGAAAAACTTGTCCAATTGATCAGTGTAAAAGTTAAAACTCAAATTAAAAGCCATAATAAATATAAACATAGAATAAAACTCAACCGAATACAGATCATAATTAAGTAACTAATATAATACCAAGTAAGTAATAATTTAAGTACTATTTAGTTTCCAGTCTAATGTTTGTTTTGTGGTTCTGCAATCTCTAGTGCACACTTCTTCCGCGTATATTATTCAAGATCAACGAATCGATCAAGCAATGCTAAACTCGAGAAATCGCTTGAATTTGAAGATAAAATATTCTAATCCGCGTGTGGGGCCGGCGAGGGCGGCGTGTTGAACGCCACCGTGTCGGTGATTGGCAGTGGTTTGGCGACGCCGATGCGCACGACGCCCTTTGTAGCGCCCTTCAACGCCTGTACAGCCTGGTCCAGCGATGCATTCTCCAGCACTGTGTCGTTGACGAACAGCAGTCGATCGCCTGGTATCAGTCGGCCATCCATCTGGGCAACCCCTCCGGGCACTAAGCTACGAATGACGATTACCGTGTCGTTGGGATCAATAGGGTCTTGATAGTCCAGGATAGAAAACCCTAAACCTCGCTCTCCCTTAACCAGTTCAATGATCTGCGGTTCAGAGCTCCACATCGCCAATCCAGTGAGTGGTTCCAAGGACCTGGACTTCATCTTACTGAACGAGATCTCTGGTGTTCCCGCTGCAGTCGCAATAGATCCATCAGACTTTGCTTTGACCAATCTATCCGAAGCTGGGAGTAAGTTTTGTAAACTTCCACCCAAGCCTGGACTTCTCTCGGTCATCGAGTGCTCGGTGGTGGCGGCAGTGTTTGGTGAACGCCCGCACACCATGCGGACTGTTAATGGCAGCTCTTTTAAAATGCTCACCACCTCATGATGGTTCATCCCTAGCAATCTATGACCATTGACTTCTAACAGCTCATCACCAGAACGCAATTTGCCGTTTTTACCAACTGGTCCTTCAGGGAGGATAGAGCGGATGTAATGGTGTGGGCGCACTTCTTGCCCATCCTCAACATCCACGGTGCCCTCCAGACTTATTCCAAGTCCGCCTCGTTCCCCAAACTTTTGAAGCTGTGCGACCACAATCGTAGAATCAGGACCGAGCGCAGAAGCCCATTTTACGCGCAGTGCTTCCTCGATGGCAGGCGTCAACTCCGTCTGGTATTGCTTATCATGCAAGAGGGCGAGCGCCACTTCGTTCTTCGCCTCCACCACCGATGGTTCGACCGAGAGGGAATCCTCACGCGCAAAGTCTAAATCCGCCTTCGGATATCTGAAATGTATTTCGAAATAAATGAATCAACTAAAACGAACTAAACAAGGCACAAAACAACGTATAAAAACACCAAAATGCAAAGATTAAGAGAACAACAAGCAAGTAAAGAAAGTGAAAAAATAGTACAGTTAGTGAAAATTAAGTCAAAAAGTCACACAGGCGGACAAGTATTTCGTTCGTATTTTTTTTTTGTTGCACAGCAAACACACAGCACAGCGAGAGATGTGAGAGAAGTGATTTTTGCGTTATTTGCTTCGGTAATTTTGGCTATTGACTCATATATTGCTCTATCGATTGCAGGTGATCGCGGCTAAGTTCGTGATCATGATCAGGGACTCAAATTACCGTGCTTGCTGCTTGGCGGGGCTGGGCGGCGTCGGTGTCGGTTTGGTCTCGCTCGCGGCGATCGCTTGCTGCAGCTGCTCGAACTTGGGACCATGCAGATAACGCTCCAGTGCAAGTTTAACGACGGCACCGCTGCTGCGCAAAACATCCACCGCTTGTAGATTGGTGAAACCCTGCAGTGAAACACCGTCCACCTCAACGATGCGGTCGTTAACCTGAATTTTCCCACTGACGTCGGCAGCGCTACCTTTACTGACGCTCTTCACGAAGATACCAGAAAGTTCTTCTTTTTCACAGACATAACCAGCAATGGTAATGCCTAAACCATTAGCGTCTTTGCGCAGCTCGACAATGAACTTCTCCATCTCGGGCATCTTCATCGCCAGATCAAGATTGAGCAGAGGCAGCGAAGGCGAAGCTGGAATACGTGAGAGGCCCGCACCAGGGTAACCCTTCGAAGTGGTAGAGTTGCCGCTCGACGCCGGCGGATCAAACAAGTAATCCTTGAAATCAGCGCCTTGCGTCTGGAATATTGCTTTGTATTTGTGCTGAATGAGGTAGCGATCGAGTTCGGCGGGCTCTGTGAGCAGGCGTGTCGGTACCAACGGCGCGGTGCTGCTCAAATATTTGTATTCGGTGGCGGTGAGGTCGGCTGGACGGGCGACGACGAGGCGCACGTGTGTGCCAGATTGTCTTAATACGGTTGCTACTTGCTCCGAGCCCATTTCGTGTAAATTCACATCACCAATCTACAAAAACAACACGTTTTTTATTTAACAAGCAAATCAACATAAAATATTGCACTTACTTGTAAAATATGATCACCACTTTGTAGTCTACCATCTCTATCAGCAACACCTCCAGGCAAAATGGTCTTAACCACCACACCCATGGTCCTAACACCAACAATCCCAAACCCTAGCCCGGTACCATCATTGACCAACTCAATAGCTTCCACTTGAGCCCATTCTGTGGTCAGCAGAGTATCAGATCCGGCCTTGGACGCGTCGCTCACAGCCGACGGTGACCTGTGTATTGCTTCATCATCAGTTCTAGTTGCACCCAGACTTTGTGCCTTCTGTATCATTCTCATTGCCTAGAAAATTTCAAACAATTAACACATATTTCTACAAAAATTTAAATAAAAAAACTTACATCTTGATGTGATAAAAGTTCCTGTGGTTTGCCATCAATGAGCATCATCTTATCCTCACTAAACTGTGACCCAGGTGATCCTGGAGACACAGGTGCTGATGGCACCCTCTGCTCATCAAAATCCCTCCCATGCTGATAATCCTCCCCATAACCAGGATCATAAATATCACCTCCAGGTGGCACACTCAATGCCAACTCTCCAGCAGGAGTGATATCAAAATCCACAGGCAGAATAGATGGATGTTGACCCAGCTGCTGGTTCAATTCACTCAGTGAATCCTGAACAGTGACAATACTCCTGAATATTGGATTCTCGAGGACTGAGATGAGAATATGCAGATCATCATTGGTATTTGCAGTGAGCTTGGGGTCATCTAAGTCATCCACAGTTTGCTTGATGTCCTCCAGCAGCTGGAGGGCACTTGAAATGTCCGCATTCAAGTGCATCATTTGCTCCACAAGTTCGAAGATGATTTATTGAATGAAGGGGCAGCTTGTTTTGCACAATTGTGTGTTGGTTGAGAGTAAAACTATGTAGTAAATAATTGTATCACATTTGATTGGTTATTGTTCATGTTCTACTTAAGTTAAGTGCACTAGTTTAGGGAGCACCAACACTTACTTATCAACGCTTTGAAAAATTCGATTGCTTATACACCAAACGCTTACGAGACTTAGATTTAATTACATTCGGATGCGGGCGCGCGTATCGATCGCAGCGAAGTTACCGAATTATTTACAAACGAAGAGCGCGCACTAGGAAACCATCGCCGGGGTGATCGTTGGGCTGGTCGCTGTGACTTGGTGGCTAATTGTTGTTATATCATCATGATGGCTTCAACATTGTTGATGGCTGTGTGTACTTCCACTGCGTTTTGATATGCTCGGCGTGCGTGTTTTTGTTTATGCTTCGCACGTCACGCGCTTATTGTTGGCCGTATAGTGATGATGCGGGTTACGTTGCGCGAGTACAATGAAAACAATTAATGCGGAACGTAAGCAAAGGTATGATGCATACATCTAAAACGTCGATAAGTACTGAAATATGGGCACGAAGCGACGTGAATGCGGATGTGTGTTTGTCTAGCGACGCGACATTTACAAGAATGCAGGAAATTACAGATTTGTCAAGCAGGTGGAGCGCGGGAGCAAATATCCACTGGGTGGGGCAGACAAATATTATGAAACCTGCAAAATAAACACAGAAAAATAAATAAACAAATAAAATTATATGTGTAATATACTTCTAATATACTTATTAATAACATATACATTCAATTTGGTTCCTTTTTAACAGCAAATTTTAAAATAAAGTAAGTTTTATTCACGTGTGAACATAGTGTATTTTTAGAATTGCTCAAATTTAACATAGGCAACTTCGTGTGCACAAAATTTAGGTTTGCAGTTTGTAATGCAATTTGAAAGTAAAACTTTCCCAAAAATTAATTAATTTTCCCTAAATTAAAAACAATTCATCAACATTTATACTTAAAACAAATAAAGTATTTAATTCTGTACCTCAAAGAACAATAAAACTTTAAGTTACACATTTTTCAAAGAAATTGCAATGAATTATTATTTATGTTTTATTTTTTTATAAAAAAAAGATTTTTCTTTAATAAATGCTATTTTATTTAGATTAGTTTTTAAATAATCACATAATATACTTGGTTTCTATGCGGATTAGATAACATTCATACACAAATCAATGTTATTTACATCCACAAAATGAAAACTCAACAAAATCTACGTATTCTAACATTCTACGTAAATCCAAATCTGTAATAGTAAAAATTCTAAAAACCGATAGTTCCACTCTATTAACTTTAAACTAGTAATGCGTGATTAAAATGACTTCAAACTCAAAACGTGACATTCGATTCAATTGAAATAAATGTTTGTTATGATTAATTTTTCATCAAAGTGACGAAATATCATCACTGACGCAGATAAACCGAGCGCACTTGATACAAAATAAATCAATTACAAGTTGGAAACATATTGGCACACACGTGCCGGGAGCGTCGCGTAAAAATTCAATTAGAGCATAATTTATTGCTCGTAAATGCTGCGCTATTAACAATTTTATCAGCGCTCGCGGTTTATCTGCGGGGGCTTGACCCGCGGGACCGCGAACTTTATCCGAGCGCGAGCGCAACCATCGCAATCTACATTCCCCAACACACAATCGGAAGAAAATACGCAAGAATTTTAAACTGCACTCAGCCAATTGCAGGCGCAATGATTCAATTCAGAGAAAATTGATTTTAAACTAAACCAATACAAAGTGTTTAAAGTGTTATCATCAAAATAACAAACATAAAAATAATCTCTTTGGAATGCGCTGCATGCTGATGATGTGTCATCGCATTTTGTTATCGAAATTCATTAACTTAATGAGCGTAATAAATCTGCACTGATTCAGTAAACACGCAAACATGCGTGTTCGGCGTGTTGCCGGCGTTAAATAGCGATGAAAATTGAATAGTGGCTAGTTATTTTGATGACGCTCGAGATTTCGGTGACATCGGCGTTTCTACGCATCGGACAACGCACCAATACCGACAATAATATATACGGGCCGGGGGACGTCGCTCGAGATCTCTGTACACTTACTGTTCCGCTCCTAATCTATTAAAATGACCTTTGTCGGGTAGTTCACGTCGTTAATCGGTGGTAATCTTTCGCTTCGGAAACACACACGACTTCGATCTGCTCTTTGCGTGTTATTCAGTGCGGCAAACAAATCTATTTTAAGTTTTCATAAGGTTTATAAATGTTTTTGTTAAGTTTTTGTAAATTTTCGCGGGTTTTGTGACGTTTGTGGGTAGTTTTAATGTTTGGTTAGGTTTGTTACAAGTTAGGTTAGTTTGGTGCGTTGGTTTAGTGAACAAATGTCAACATCATGTTGAATTTAAAAACATTTACCCTGCTTTTAGCAGGGTTGGCTTATTGTAAGTGCAAAAATACAAATAAAATACAAAAAAATATAAAATAAATAAATAAAAATAATTATTTAAATTTTAGCTAGTGCTATATCTAATTTTAATTGTGCGCGTTATTGCAAAGGTAATAAAATAAATCAAAACAAAAAATTTTAAGTGTAAATAATAATAAATTTAAAAACTTCAGAAACAACCGGAAGTTTTGGTTATGAAGTGGGTAAAACCTACAAATATCAATATTCCGGAAATGCCCGAAGTTTGGTTAACACCACATCACAACATGTCGTCGACCAAAGCGGCGTCAGCATCAATGGCGTCGTTGCATTCCAATCGCTATCAAACTGCGATTATATTATGGAGGTTAGTCCAATACAACACACAACAACATAGGTTATGTCCATATTCATAAAACACACTTATTTATCTTAGATACTTGAAGTGACAATAACTGATTATCATATAAAGTCGTCAACAAAAACAACATCCCAAGTTGATAAATTTCAAACAATCGAAGATCAACTCAAAGCAAATCCATTGTATTTCGCTTTCAATGGTAAAATAGACACAATATGCCCGGATAAAAGTGAATCCAAAGAGATAATCGACATTAAACGAGGAATTCTAAGCGTTTTCCAAAATAATAATCCATTATTCAAAGAAAATGCCTTGGTTTACGAAACGGATATCACTGGCAACTGTGAAACGCAGTATAAAGTCACCACGAATCAAGATGGCGTCAAACAAGTCAACAAAACGAAAAATTTGGATGCTTGTGATCATCGTATGTCGAATTATTTCTCCTGGCAGACTGTCCCCTATACAACAACTTCTTCTTCAAAGTCAATACCGCTTTTAAAGTAAATTAATTAATTGGCTTTGAATTTAAATGAATTATCACAATTCTAAATAGTTGTAACATTGTAGGAGCACGTTGAACTGTATGCTGACGTATGTGCCCTCAACCGGAAGTCACCCAGGCGACATTTTGCTCGAGTCATCGTGCTTTGAAAAACACGTATTCCAGCCGTTTTCGAATGGCGATAATGGCGCCATGACAAAGATCGAGCAAGAATTAAAGTTTATTGAAGTGCTGCCGTCGTTTAAGCGGCATAATGCGCCCAACGATGTTGTAAGAAGCACTTTGATCTATGAATACAAAGAGGATAAGATGGCCGCGTACGATGGCACCAAAGCTCTAGGCATTCTGAAAGAACTAGAGGACAAAACCGCCGATGGCGTTGACATGGACGTTCCGGGAATCTTCTCGCAATTAGTTTTTGAATTTCAGCGCTTGAGTAAAACCAATCTACTAGAAATCTTCAAACAAATCAATCAGAAACAAAGAATATTCTTTATCGACGCCATATCTTTGATAAAAACTAATTCCGGGATTGAAGTAATGTCTGATTTGTATGCGAATAAGAAATTGAGTGATAAACAGATGAATACATGGTTGATTTCGATTAATTTTATAAAGAATCCGAATAAACAGACGGTGAAACTTCTTCATGTGAGTATATGGTTGCATATAGTAAACACCTAAATTTGATTTTTTATTTTTTATAGCCGCTTACTTGGCAAACGAAACTCAAACAAAATGCGATGTTAAGTTTGTCTAGTGTATTGTACAAATACTGCAGTAGGCAAAATTGTTTGGATGATGTTGTTATTTTGGAAATTGTTAAAACTATTGAGAAACCCATCAGTAATAACTGCTTAATCACCTCGGAAAATGATAAAAAAGATATTTTTTTGGCATTAAAGAGTATTGGAAATGCAGGGTTGACCAGCAGTTATTATAACTTACAAAATTGTTATTTGGTAAGCTATCTTTATATTTATTAAACAAAATTTACTAATATTTCATTTGTAGAACAATGAATTACCAATTGAACTTCGCCTGGCGGCCATTGCAGCTCACAGAAGAATGAAATGTGTGGAAAACGAAAACCTTGATGATTTCAAAAACTTTTATCAAATTCCCGGACAAATTCTGAAATTAGAATAGCTTCTTATCTAGCAGCTATGCAATGCGCTTCCTATGCGTCCTTCGCTCAAGTTAAAGATGTGTTGATGAATGAAGAAGCCAACCAAGTTGGGTCCTTCATCTGGACACACCTAACAAATTTCAAGAAACATCAGTCCCATGGAAACAGGGAGTTAAAAAATTACTAGAAAACGAATTTTTGCAGAATAAATTCAACACTGACATCCGGAAATATTCAAGGAATTACGAAGCATCAACATTTTTTGATTCCATTGGAGCAGGAGGTGGGGTAGAAGCAAATGTAATCTTCAGTTCGGAATCTTACCTTCCAAGATCAGCAATGTTGAATTTCACTCTGGATCTTTTCGGAGAAACTATCAATGTTCTGGAATTAGGGACCAGAATAGAAGGTTTTGAAGATATCGTAGAAAATTTATTTACTTCCGAAAGTGATACCACAATGAAAAAGAATACAAGTGATCCTTATATAAAAGGTACCAGCAAACAGGAAATGATTGATGGTTTTGTGGAAACATTCAAAGTCCTACCAAAACAACCCTCTGGAACAGGATACATCAAAATTTTCGGAAACGAAATATCTTATACAGATTTCCCTTTCTTAAAAGATCTCTTTGGGATGTCCATATTCGGAAAAACAACATTGGACATGTTATTACAATTTATCAAAACACCGGAAATTGATTACACGAAATCATTTTCACTTTTGGACTCAAATTATAAGATCCCTACAATTTTAGGCTTTCCACTACAATTGAAAAGTAACGCAACAGCTACTATAGGATTGACTGCAGGAGGAGAAATCAATATGAAAGACATCCGGAAGCATAAAATGTTAGTAAAAGGCCAGATCTACCCCAGTGTATCCGTTCAAGTAGCTTCAACAATGGGAATAGACACTTACATCGGAGAAACCGGGGTGCAATACCTCGGAGCTTTGAAATCCAATATGTACATTGATGGTTACCTAAATTTGGAAATGGGAAAAGTTGTAGATGTCAAAATTAACGTCCCCAAGAAACAAATGGACATTTTTACAGTCACCTCTGATCTGTATATAGTACACAATGAAGATACCTATCTCATACAGGATGTTACCAACAAAATAGACAACTCCGAATATTGCACGGATCAATACATCAGTAAACTCATAGGTTTACAATTCTGTAACCAATGGAAATTTGTAAATTCTTCATCGTTGGCAACACCAAATTTTCCTCTAACCGGAAGTTTCAAATACTCAATGCACATCAAGAAAACCGACACCTTTGATTTTTACAAACTCTACATTGAAACAAAATTAACAGATCCAAATCGTCAATACCTGATTGATTTCCTACTAGACACTCCAAATTCCAAGATAGACCGGAAGTTACAATGTACTCTATCTGCAGATCTACAAGCTTACAAAGTCAACATCAAACTACATTCACCATTCGCCAATTTCCACCTTGATAGCAATATTGAACGAGAATTACCAAAATACAAATTCCAACTGATGACCACATTCAATGATAAGGAAGTGGTCACCTTGTTATCAACATTTGACGTAAAAGACGAAGGCGAAACTGTTACCTATGAACCCTTGGCGAAGATAAACTACAAACAACAACAAATCGTAGCGTTGACAGGAAAACTGAGTCGAGTGAAAAGCGGAGAATATACTGCGGATTTAAAGCTACAGGGTGTTACCAATGAAGTGGCACAAATCTATGGAAGTTTCACATGTGGCGCGGATTCTTTCCGGATCAAAACCAACATTATGTCGACACACTTCAAAGGAAACCTGGAAGCAGGGCTAAATGTGCGGGCGAATGAAGTTTTAGCACAAGGAGAATTAAAATACAACTATAATAATTTAATCGAAGAAAATTTAAAGGTTTTAGCTAAATTTAATCGGACCCAAAGTGATACCTTTAACAAAAACTTAGTACTTTTGGATTTAAACTCGTCGGAATGGCCTGGGTATAATACACACGTCCAGTGGGAGAATCAAAGAGGACATCTATACTTCAACAACACAGCGGAGATTATGTTTTTTGAAACAACATGGCGGACTCATCAAATTTTAAAATTAGATAAAGGATTCTACGATGAAGAACCTGATCTTTTATTATTAGCGGATCTACAATCTCCTGAGAATAACATTGATTACCAATCAAAGTTACAGTTTAACATGTCCAAGAAACACCTGAGAAGTCATGCCTTGTTCCAATTGAACAAAATACAACGCACAGAAGCACTTTTGGATTACAAATCAAATTCAACTGAAGATACAGTAAATATCCTGTTATACTACGCTAAGAAACAATGGTCCGTGGATGGAGTCCTCAATAAACACTTGAATAGAAACTATAACTTTGACATCAATTGTCGATATAAAACTTTAGACCAAGAGCATATCATTCTCACCCTAAAAGGAGATTATAAAAACGCATCTTTGGGTGAAATGCAAACACACAGATTGAATTGTACCCTGGACCTTCCGGAAACTAATGGTGAATGGAGGACACCGTGGGTTATTACAAGTACAGTACAAAAATCACACACGACATTTTTAAGTCTTTCAAGAATATCTACGAAAGAAGCTGATTATGTGGGACATTTCAACTGGATAGAAGATTCGTTATCATTGTCTATCCAAGCAAATGATAAACAATTGTTTGTGTTGAATGGGGCAAGGACTGAAGAGTTAATAAGTGTGATAATAGCGTTGAATATTCATCAACATTTTGAATTGAATACAAAGTTAATGATGCCGTATCAAAGATTCGATTTGCAAGTGTATTGGGATAAAGACCGGGATGAAACGCAGAGATTTATATTCTTCATTGAACAAAACTCGTTCAAAGGACAATATAACATGGAAGTTGAATATCCAAATCAGAGGATTAGCACGAATATATTACTTGTGTAAGTTTTTTTTGGATTTTATAATTTTTTCTACTTTCATACTTAAAATGGCACTTTAATCACGGCCGTGACTAAAGTATGTTCCTCAGGGGGGTTAGTCACGGGGTGGAGCTTGCGCCTGCGCATTTGCAAGCTGTTACTTCTGTTGCATCACGTTGCTAAACGTTGTTAAAGTGTTGTTTAGCACACTTGATACTTAATATACAACAAAATTGATTTAAATAAAAATTTACAGACCTACCCAAGTAATCATGAATGTCACATGGGGAATAAAAGTATCCCAACGCATCTATCTGAAAATCGGCAATAAATACTACGACGTTGGAGGGATATGGTTCGGGGAGCTGGAGACACCCTTCCGGTATCTTGAAAAACAACAATTCAACCTTCAATACGCTGTTTTAAGTGACAGCTTCGATGTTCAGGTGAGTTATTTTTACTTTCCCTTCAACTTACTTTATAAATTTACCAAAAAACTTAATTCTGGTTAGTCTGATTTATCATGGAGATCACACAATATAAATCTCCTCATCGCCGGTTCAAGAAGTGACACGCATCTTAAAGCCAACTTACAATTGAATACCACCCTTCCAGAAATACGCAAAGTAGGCGCTGCTTTATCACACACTCATAAAATAGCTTTAGGAAATTACCAACCTGGTTATGATAGTGATTACGAATCAAACTATCAATCAAACGCTGCTTTTGATTACTAATGACCACTCTATCCAAGCGGAATCACGCTGGTTGATGAAGGGAGACAAAGTTGACTCTCGCTTCCGCATAGAATCACCTACGGATACCATCGAACCTATTTTTGGTTCCTTAAACTTAAATAACAACATTGAAGATAATGAAAATACTGAAGGTGCTAGTACTATGGATTTTGTCTTAAGTTGGCAGAAGAAGAACATCACAGCTATGTACAACTTCAAAAGTGACACTTCTTCAATTGAGATCATTACACCTTTCGAAGGAATCGAGAAAACTATCATGAAATATTCAGTTGTTACAAACATTGATTCTGTGTACTTATCTACAACTGTGGATGTTTTAAACAGAATAATTCTATAACCTTAAGTTGGACAAACACAGATGAAGTGACTTCCTTTTGGTTGGATTTGATGTCACCGATGACAGGTGGTTACTATGTCTATTTCACGCATAGTGTACTTTTGGGCAAACTGAATGAGAATTTTAAAATACGTGGACCTGAGAATAAGGATTTGATGCAGATGAAAATTGAAGGTGATATTATGCCGTTGTTAGAAATGAATCTAACTGCGTCTTTGATTTTGTTGGATCATGACGCCAAGTTGACTATTATAAACTCCAAGGAACCTTTGTTTTCGAATATCATTGGTGTATGGAATGGACGTACCATCAATAGTAAAATTCAAATGGAGTTTGAGAAACATGTGAGGTTGATTAACTGGTTGATTGAATCAAATATCTTCGCACCAGTTAATATATCCTATGAAAGAGATGGGAAAGATTGTGTGACGAAGATAATTTTACCGAATAATTACTCTTTGATTAATAGATATGCGCATTCAGAGCCGTATTTGAATAATGAATTCCATCTAAAAGCTCCGAAATTAACTTTGGAGTTTGATTATAAATCAACGAAAAATACGATTGATCAAAAACTATTCGCACAGTTGAATGAGAAAAAAGTTGATTATTCTAGTAAATTATTTACTAAATTTGATGTGGATAAAGAGATAAAATTATTAGGAATCTATAATTTTTATCAGGACAATCAAATTGTGCATTCTTACAATATGACAACAGAAATTACGCAAAATAACAAACAAGAAAATTTCTACTTGGGCATTAATTCAACATCATCTTTAAATGGACATTTCAATTTCAACCGGGAAATATCCCCGAAAATAAGTGGAAACTCTTTTAAATTAACCTGTAAATATCCTTCATATTGCAATCTGGATGCTTCTATCAACAATCAAAGTTTATTATGGAATAATATACAAACCAACAAAAAACTTCACTTGACTTATAAAACTGATGATAACTCTTTAACAACAAAACTTGATACAAACTACGAAAACATACCAAATGGAGATTTACACCTTCAATATTTTGCAGATAAATTAAACCTAAATATCAACACAGAAGATTATAATATCTACATTTCTAGTGATGTAAATATTAGTAATGCTACGGCAATCATCAAAAAGCACCAAAAAGACCTCGTGAAATTCCTGCTTGAATTTAAAAATCCACGAAAATTAAACGCAAGTCTAAATTTAAACACTTTTCAAAAATTAAACGCAACCTTTAGTTATGATCTATCACCGAAACACATTGAGATACAATCAATGATAAATTCTGCAATGACCAAAGCTCACTTTACATCAAAATTCCAACATCAGCAGGATGATCGCGTCAATGGATTAATCGAATGTCGTTTCAATGAAAAACTCTACTCGTCAACAATAAAACTGGCCGAACAACAATTTACGTTTTTCCTGAAGACACCCACTGAAGAATACAACGGAAAACTGAAGCATAGTGCTCAGTCATTTTTTCATATTCAAGAGATAGAGTTATCCAGTTTGAAATCGAAAAATTCCATAAAAGTTGTTCAAACATTTACAAATATCGAAATGATAGCACGTTTAGATTACTTCGAATTACCCAAACAAGAAATATTTTATTCCTGGGATGCATGGAGTAATTTCTCAGGCGAAGGATACTATAAAAAAGGAGGCTCGGAAAAGCATACATTTACAGTGCATTCAACCAGCTTGGATAATAATTGGTCACTAGCCTGGTATCTCCCCAGTGGAGTATTATTCTTCAATGCAAAATTGAATAGTAGATATGAATCAGAATATGATTTTGATTTTGTTATTGATGGATCCTGGGACAATCGAAAATTCCGCTTTGATTTAAAAAATTATTTCGGCGAATATTACCAGACAACTTTTAACCTAATCACACCATTCAAGGGATGGGGCAGGACCAGTTTGGATTGTACTCTGAATGATCAAAAAATAGGAATTGCTTTGCAGGCAAAGAGTCATTACATGTCTGTGGTTGCGGGAAGAAGTGGTGATGATATGTTGAGGATTGAATACATGGGTGAGACCTAATGGAGATGTCCTCCAGTGAAGGTCATCTAACCCTCAGAACCACAAGTTATCTTGGGAAGTATAGACTTTTCATTCAAGTGACACAAACACCTGGGATTTATGTGTTTTCGATTTTAAAGGATGGCGAAAATCTGATTTCGTTCATGTTGCAAAATTATTCGATAAATGAGGTTATGCACTACAAAGGAAAGCTAATGGCTCCGGAGATAATCCCGAATAATTCTACGATAAGTGTGGAATTCATGGCGAATTTACTAATCTGGAAAATGTTTGATTTCAAAATGAAGAGGATCATAAACCGTTGTTGGAGCTAGGATGGGAGAATACCAGACATAAAAGGGGAGGGGATTGGTCCCTGAGGTTCCAAAGTCAGATAGATCCAGCGCTGAATTTTAAACTGCGACCTTCGTTTTCGATCAGTGAGGAAAACAAACTGGATATCGATGTGGAAGTGAGATACCCATGTCAAAAACATACAGAATGTAGTTTTACGTTTGTGTTGGTACCGAATCGAATGGTTTGTAATTCGTTGTCATCTGTAGACATCTTCAATTTTCATATTCAATCAAATTTTAATTATGGTACAAATTTTCTGGATACAGATTTTGAATTCAACGATTTTAAACATACGAATATAGAATTGAATATTTCTACAAAGTTGAACAGTCATATGAAGATCAATGGTACAGCTAACTTTAAAGAGCAATCTGCGATAGTTTCACTAAACCTAGAACCAAGATATCTTCAAATGGAGCTAGCTGGGAGTCAGGGTGATCAAAAATATTATTTACTTGCAAAAAGTCAACTTTTGGATGATCATGTCTTGTTGGATCTTCACCTTGCTCAGAATCAATATTTTCCGAATATAACAACCAAAGCAGATGTCTCCTTACAGCAAGGTTTGGTTATAATCACCAGAAACAAAGATAAATACGAAACAACTTGGTTATATACAGAGATGGACCCAAGAGTGACATTTACAGGACACCTGAAGCGAAATGGGCAAAATATTGGAGATGTCACCTTTAGCAACATCCATATTAAGGGTCATACATTCCAAAGTGATAATTTACTCCACCTGAACATCAAACAGCACAAAATTAAAGCTGTTATGAAAAGTCTCCTATCAAATGATAGCGCCAAAGCTACTTTCACACTTCAAACTCCTTGGGAACCAATGAAGAAAGTCAATTCTGGAATTGACATACAATACTCTTCAGAGAAGTTTAATCTTGAACAGTTTTTAGGATTATCTGATAAAGAATTTAAATTGAATGCGAATGGTGTGACTACGAGGAAAGGAATGATTCTAAAGATGTCCTGTAAACCTTGGGGACAACCTAATCTGGTTAATCAAACAATTTCAGCGAATTTGAAGTATGACTTCGTGGGACACCATAAAAAAGCAACCTACAACTTTGATATAGATTTGGGAGATAGCAAATACCATGTAAGGGCTCAACCAGGATCAGATGGATATACAATTGAAGTGAAGACCCATGATGAAAGGGAAGTCGCCATGTTGAAATTTAATAAAAATCTGATTGACTTTAAAGTCAATTCAATTGGAATTATAGAAAGTATAACTTTAAAATTAAATTCAAGCCATTTTATACTGGGTAGTAATGTAAAAGGATACAAGCAATTATTTTTCGCAAATCTGGGAGCTTTTGGTCTCTTCCTGGAAGCACCCGAGAAGAAAAACAAGATAATTACTATACTTTACAAAATCAAAGGACATCTCCCGAATGTGAATCTTTCAATGGACTCATACACTCAATATAAACATCATGACGTCATAATGGTAGTAAATGCTTTCGACAACTTGATTAAATTTACCTATGATGAACACAAAAAGCAAAAGAATAAATCCTGGATGAGTACAATTGAATTCAAAACACAAAATCAAAAATCTCTTGTAACAACCATCGAAGAAAATGATTCAATGTATAAAATATCAACAAACCCTATTCAACACTCTGTAGAATCATTGATTGTATACAAAACCTATCAAAGAATCAAGAACGAAATATATTTACCATTTGAAGTTGAGTTTAACACACAGGGTGTTCCAATATTCAATTTGAAAAGTGAAAAAATCACTTTAACATTCACCAAAGGCAAACAACACGTAAATATTAATTATGGTGATAACCACTTCAGATTTGATTTTGATCACATCAAGGATAATGAATTATTGGTGCATTATCAACGTAATGATCAAATTCTTCACTTTGAAGTAGGACCTCATCAAAATATGAAATTCAACTTAAACCAAGGAGATTTACTATCTTTAAATTATGATATCCATAATGGATTAGTAATTACCTTCAAACACTTGGTTAATAACCAAAAAGTGAGATGTAATTTATCCGCTGCATCAATAAATAACATCTCCTTTGATATGACCTCTGATGAAGACCAAATTGTCCTCTGGGAGAGCTCAATTGACGATTCGTCCATTTCGTATAAATTCATAGCTCCCAAGTGGGATCTGCTTAGACTTTTCGACATAGCTCTAAGCTGGGAGAACAACACGCGAGGAAAAGTTTTCGGAGCGTCTTTAAAGCTAGATTCTGAATATACAGGTTTAACTGAAGCAGGGACAGTCTATGAACAACGACAGTTTTTGTTGAATATCGTCACATACTTCAAAGCACCTTTCTTGAAAGGTTTGGAGACTTTCTATGGAAAAGTATATATCCCGAAAGAATTCCGTCCTCATCTGGAAGTTGTCATCCCTGGACACACTTACAAATTCTACTGCAATCATTGGAACAACGTGATGGAAACAGAAGTTATCTGTAGTAATGAGCACTTTAGTTTGATGTTCAACACCTCCTGGAGTTCTGGCTTTACAATACAAGTTGAATTCCCTGGAGAACAATTTAAATCACTTTTGATACGGTCTTCTCCAAATGATGTAACACTGATAGAGGTTAATGATGAGTATAGTGTGAGTATGAAAACAGATTTTAGTTACCTGAATGTGAAAACACCTTTGGAAGGATATGAAAAGTTTGGGTTTTTGTGTGAGCAGAACTTTGATAATCAGCATGGAAAGTTTAAATTTGTGATTGTGCATCCCGGATATGAAGAACCTTTAGGGATAGCATTTATAATGGATCTTGAAGAAAACAAATCAATTGAAATACTTTATAGTATACATACACCTTTCACCATCGAGGGATATGATTATGTTGTTATCAACATGACAGCTGAGTTTCTCCTTGAAGGGATTGATACCAGATGGAACCTGATGACCAATGAGGTTGACCTTGGAGGTCATTTTGGTTTACTATTAACCGACAACAGGAAATTTATCGAGGGTGAAGCCTATTACAATACAAAATACTTCATAGCTTCCCTAAACATAGAACCAACAAAAATCTACTTGATATTTGGTAACCCCAATAGGGATCAATCAATATTCCTTGATAAATTCCCAGAATTTAATAAACATATCTCCGAAAACCTCCACATGATCTACCTAAGTGTGGATAAAGAAGAGAACATTGATTTATTGGTCCATCTCGGCCCACAACCATTTTCTCTCCAACGCAATGGTAACACCTTCATCAAACTAATCTGGGACCTCAGAAACGCCAACAAAACCCGCCTGGGAATCAAATACATCCCTCAGAAAACAATCGAAGTATATCTACTGGATAATCAACTCACAGCCGAGCAAAACACAAATAAATCATCCAACGATTTGTACATTAAATGGAATGACCTCAATGTGGAATACTCCTCATCATACACTAATGTCTCCATTCAACATGACGTCCATAATGTGACTACCACCCGAAAGGTTCAAACACCATTCGGACGTCTGCACCTCACACAATCAACATCTACATCAACAAGGAAGTTAATGGATTGTGTCGAAATAGACTGGGCTAGTTCAGAGGCTTCAAAACCTTCGAAATTGATATTTAATTACGAAATTACACCCGGAACACTGACATCAACCATGTCTAGCTCATTACTAGAACATCCTATGGTATTAAATTTGGATATGTCTGAATTTCGTTCGATCCCTTCGAAATTAGACGCTAGTTTTGTTTATTCAAACATCACAGAAAAAACAATCAATTTTTCAATGCGGTATAATAAAACATTTTCAGTTAATAATGACGTGGAGAGTGTTTTTACCGATCGGGTGTTTATCCTGAAACATCCATCATCCAAAGTTGATTATGAGCTATATTTCAATGCTATACGAATGGATGATTTTTCAAATGGAAGCGTCATGTTGAAATACAAAAATTTCGACACCAATAAACTGGAGACCATCCACAGCTCCGTAAAAGTCGACCATAGTAAATTCGGAGTCCATGCTGAGGTAGCAACAAGCCGAAATAGATTCGATTTAATGGCTACATCAACAACAGGTGTGAAACGACATGGATTTTTGGTCCATGTTGAGATAAACGATAAAGATCCATTGAATTTGGAGTGCAACTACAACTTCCAAAAGGATAGCCCTTCTGTGAGTTTAATGGCCGCGTATGGCACCAGCAGAAAGTACGTGTTTTATGCTGGCATGCCGAATGAGAAGGAAATAACAGCTAAATTAGGCCATGAGAGTTATGGACGTGCGTCGTTGGATGCACTCGCAATAATGAAACTCAACACGTCGCAACTGCTATGGATGAAAGTCCTATGGAAAGATAATTTGTACGCGCCGTTCCACGAAGCCATCTTGGATGAATACAACGATATGCGGTATGTGATCGAAGCAATGGGCAAGGAGTTAATTGATGTTATCCATGACGATGTTGGCAAAGACTTTATCACTGATTTTACTCACATTAAAAGTAAAATAGTCAATAATACAATTAAAAATGTAGAAATATCGATGATGCAGTTACAGAAACGTGAATTATGTTCGAAAAACTTCAAAAAATTGTGTGAAATATTTTCAAATAGTAATTTTGCTTTGTTTTGAAAGAAAATTTAAGATTTTTCGATGATATTTTGGAGCATATCATAAAAACTACTCTAAATTCCATCCAAATACTTTTTGATGCCATTAATGTAGAAGTTGACAATGCTATGAAAGGCATCAAAACATCCAGCATATAAAAATCGACGCAAAGAGTATTTTAAAACGCGGGATAAACACAGCAAGAAAATCTTTGAAAGACATGGAGATAGTCATTGTAAAATTACTAGATGATTTTGATTTGTACATCAGCAGTGTAAAGAATCAAGTTGAAGAATTCTTCGAACCATTTTTGAGCTTGGTAGATGATTTTATTGTTTATGTTGAGCAAAGATTAGCAATTTTACAAATAGCTGTTCTGGATACAATGGACTCCATCCAACAATACATCTACAATCTCCGAGAAATCAAAGCAATGTTCTCCGTTTACTATTCCTACATCAACTGGTTGGAAGAGTTGCATATTATAAAAATGTTGGATCCTGTCACTGATGTCATCGAAGAACTATTAGAAACTATCATTCAGGATGTCAAACGTATCCTGGACCATTACAAACCCTATTTGGATGCTTTGGGAGATGCTATCTTTGGAAAATATGATGGAATACAACAATTACCTCCTTTTGTTGAAGTTCGGGAACATGTTAATCGAATATACCACAAAACAATCTGGGTGTGGAATTATCACAATATGACCCAAACTCTAAAGACCTGTGTACAAAAAATCAGCAGGGATGTGGATAATGTGTTATCCTTCATAGAATTCGATGACTTTTCCGGATCTAATGAAGATATGGAGTATCCCTTTGGGTATAACTATGTCTTTAGACCAGAGAATCGTTTGATAGAGATAAGTCAACCTTTACCAGTGGAATGGGAGGCTTTTAACAAGTCACCATCATTTGCTAATTATCCGCTATATCAGAAGATCCAAGGCAAGTCTGAGCAGTTTATAAAATTCTACAAGAGTCGATATGATTTGATCGATATGTTGGAGAATTTTGTTGTGGATTTATATGAACCATCAATTGCTCCTACCACGTTGAATTATGCTATGATCATTGGAAAGTCACAGTATACAACCTTTAATGGGTTAAACTATAATTTCTTGAGTAATTGTAGTTATCTACTAGCAAGTGACTTTAAAACCAAGTCTTTTTCTTTGATAGTTAACTATCGGAATACAACCAGCTCAGGAAAAGTTTTGAAATCTTATGAAATTTTATCCCATGATAGTAGTTTTGAGATATTCTCGGAGAAACATGTCACTTTAAACGGAAAAAAAGTTGATCTGCCAATTATGCATAAACAAGTGACTATTACAAGAGAAAAGGATAATATTATCGCGGAAAGCTCACGTGGGTTCAAAATGATTTGTTACTTCCACTATGAATATTGCACGGTGCAGTTGTCCGGATGGTTGTTTGGTAAAACAGCGGGGTTATTGGGAACGTTGGATAATGAACAGTATACTGATGTGACTACAGCGCAGAAAACAACTAATGGTGTAGAGCAGTTTTTGAGAAGTTGGCAACTACAGAAGAATACTGAGTGTGCGTTGCAGGTTGCTCCGGATTTTCAGGGTGATAATTTGGATTATATTACACAATTGTGTGATATGTGGTTCAACGATACCAAGTCTCCGTTGAATAAGTGCTTTGATGCGGTTGATCCCAAGATGTACTCGGAGATTTGTTATAATGAGCTGAGGGCTAATCCGGAGATCAAAGTGTGTGCACCGGCGGCTGCGTATGTTCATCGGTGTCGACAAGCGAGGGTTGCGATTGAGATGCCGGAATTTTGTGGTGAGTAATTATTTAAAAAAATAAAAAATCAGAAAATAATTGAAGATCGATTTTTGAGTATAAATTATTGATAAAATCCAAAATTAACATTAATATTTGGTAAAAATACCAAAAAAAAGTCATTAAGGCTGTCAAAAAAGATTAAATTTGCGACAAATTAGTTTCTTTGACCTTTATCAACCAAATTTTTATGAAAATATCTCAGACAAAACTTGTAGATTGCGTAATTTTCTCTAAAAAATGTTTTAAATTGATTTTTGTTTGAATTCTTCATCGGGAATCCTAAAAACACCATCAAAACTTAAAAATTTCAAAATATTTTCTTCTCTGGGCCATTTTTTCTAATTAGTATGTTCAATATCTCATCAAATTTTCTACATTTAATCAAAATTTATGCAAAATTTATGTTTTTTCACTTTAGTGACTTGTAAAAACGATATCGGTTATCAAGAAGAAATATTCGACGGTCACAACAACAAGACCGTCGACGTGGTGTTCATCACCGAGATGGATTGCTACAACGCGAGCCTGGTGACGCGGGCGCTGCCAGAGCTCCTGGACCGGCAACTGCTGAGGAAGCAGTTCGCCGGGAATCGATTCGCCACGGTCGGTTACGGCGGGGCCGTGCTCCCCAAACCGCATGTGCACACCCATGACGGAAGCGTTTGGTCTCGCAGCGCGAACGTACAGATTGAATCACGATTGTAAGCCAACCACCCTACCCCCACCCAAACACAACAACATATATAACCCATGATTGATTGAATTATTACAGGAGCGGTATAAACATAAGCGCCAAGAGTAAATTCACCGGCGTAGACGCCATCAAATACGCAGCCAACTTGGAATACCGCGTTGGAGTACCAAAACTATTTGTTTTGACGCAGTGTGAAGTAGCCACTGATATAGGCAACTCACCAGACATTTACAACATGCTGGGGGAAAAGGACATAACCTTACATGTGCTTAAACCATCACCATTCGCGTCTAAACAATCACCTGTCTTGGGTGTGGATTTGAATACAGCTATTATCAAGTCAAATTCATCAAATACCAATATAGCAGTAAATCAAGTAAATATAACCTCAAAAAACACGAAATTTATGTTCTCTAAACGATTCATTTGAATTTAACTTGTTTTTCTCCGCAGATAATCAATCAAATCGATGATGTGTATAGCGGATTAGCGCTGAGCACAAACGGCACCATCTTCGACCTCACCTCGCTGAGTGCCAACGACGATAACAGCGCGCGATGGGCGCACACATTGGCGCGTCACATCACCGCCAGTCCCTGCCAGAAGTGCAAGTGCGTGCAGGACTTCAACGGCGTCGGCAAGATCGAGTGTTCGCGGTGCTTAGCACCTGCCGTCAAGCAATTTTTGAACGTGAGTATCCACCTCACAATGCATAATGCATAATAGTCTCTACTCTCACACAACACACAACAACAACACATCCGTCCGAAGTTTTTTCTTCTCTTCACCAGCCGGATTGTTAACTTTTAACACCGCCCGTCCGCCGCACTTAAATGGGTAATTTATTGAGTGCTCTCGTTTTATTTTTTAGGAGTACCAAGAGGGTAATAAAATGCAATTCAACGACAACGACGACAACCAATAAAACATCACCTAATTGGAATCGTCGAAGAGCTCGGCTTTTATAACCTCACACTTTTATTTAACCTCAAATATTAGTTTCGATAGAATTTACCTAAACATCTAACACGTTGAAATTATATATATATTTTAATTTTATGTTATTATTATATTAGGTATAGTAATGTGTCCGGTGACACCCTATAAATAAACTAATTGAAAATGATATAAATTTGTCCGAGTGTGCATTCAGTAAATTGCATAAATTACGCCATTAGCATGAGCGCCGAGCGCGCGCGCGAGTGCTGTTCGTACATCGTTGTAGAAAACGATTGGTAGTTGTTTAATTATGATGATATAGTCGGACGAGCAGTTTGTGCGCTCTCACCTGCTATTTATTATTTAGTAGACGCATAAGTATATTACCCGCAAACTTTGTTTATGACCACCCCCACTACCATCACCCCCACTTTGTTATCCTCACCACAGTAGTGGTTGGCCTTCCCCAGGTGAATTCAAGGCGTTTCTAGAGTAGGGTCAGAAAGGCGTTACGATTTTATGCCATTGAAATCCCCCAACCAATCAGAAGTTGGCTTCGTGAGAGGAGCACTTGGGTCGTTGGTGCATCCAGTCTCCAGCCACAGTCGAAAGTCAAGCATCACTAACGCTGGTCGTTCCAGAATTTGGTTTCAATCTCCACCAAACGAGTGTTGTGTGATTTGAGTGTGTATCAGTTCAGTGAAATCATGCCGCGTCCGTCGCGAGAGTCCTACGGGGATCAGAAGCCGCCGTATTCGTACATCTCCCTCACGGCGATGGCGATCTGGAGCTCGCCGGAGAAGATGCTGCCGCTCTCAGACATCTACCGGTTCATCACTGATCGCTTCCCGTATTACCGACGCAACACACAACGCTGGCAGAATTCACTCCGGCATAATCTCTCATTCAATGATTGTTTCATCAAGATCCCCAGAAGACCTGATCGACCTGGAAAAGGTGCTTACTGGGCTCTACATCCAGCTGCTTTTGATATGTTTGAGAATGGGAGTCTACTTCGACGTCGCAAGCGTTTCAAACTGCTTAAAACGATAAAGATACCTTGGATAGTGAACTGGCTGCATTGGCGAATATAAACCGCTTTTTCTTCGCTCCGACGGACAACCATCTGGATACAAGCATGCCACCGTCGGCTGTGTCACCCTGCTCACCAGGAGCTCCTGTGAGTTATGAACCTACACCACCACGAGTACCCTCACCCGGGGTGATAGGAACCACCACGGAAGCCATCACTACAATACGCCCGAAGAGAGCCTTCACGATTGAAAGTCTCATCTCGCCGGATAAACCAAAACCAGACAAAAACCAGGTGAGATCCGAAGCAAGCATCAAACAAGAACTGCATCCACCCTCACCAGCAGCCTATGTGCAATGGGGCCTATCACCATATTGTGACCTAGGAATACCACAACCTCTGCTTATCCCTCCGATGGGTTATTATCACCATTACGGAGTTGGTGTTGGTGGTGTAGGGATGCCAACAACAGAAGACCTTTTAAGGGTGCCGCAGCTAGCCCTGCGTTCGGTCTGATCTGAGTAGATAATAAAAGTCTGATTACGAGATAATAAACTCAAGTGCATCAAGAGTGATGATCTCAATCTGATAGTAGTAGACTATATGAAGTATAGCATATGAATGTAAAATGTACTGATGGCGCTGATGTTAGAATTTGTAACAATGTGTAATGTTCCTGCATAGCTAGACATAGTCTCTAGATGTAAATAATATAAACTTATATGAGATGAATATGAAGAGAATGAGTTCTATTACTCTATTACTATAGCGATTAACTGAAAGTCAATGTGATATAATTTTAGTAAATGAAATAAAAGAAGAGAAGAAAACGCTCATGTGTATTGTAAATAAATAAATAAATAAATAAATAAATAAATAAATATTAAATTACTTTCTCTTATCATTCATTTATCAAGCGAAAAATTTATTAGCCCACCCGAAATGTTGAGAGAAACAAAAGCAGCGAGCGCGTGATAACACGATTACGATTATTTCGCATTACACACGACACAATATTAATTGTTGAAACGTGCGGAATGGGGAACTGGAGGCGGTTTTTGTTTTCGGTGTGGAAAAAACAAAAGATTCGTATTTATTTTAGGCATTACACTGCGCTACCAACCGCACGCAATGCATAGATTTATAATTTCGTTTGTATTAGGCGCAATTTTCCGTGAGGGGGGTTGGTTTAAAATGCCGGCAGGCACGAACGCGGTTTTTCAATGCGCGATTGTGTCTGATAAAAGATCGCGGGCGTTTAACATGCGATATAGACCAAAATAAATAATCGCGCACAAAACATTTGTGTTGTATTCACGTTCGAGTAAAATTCATAGCCATTCATTAATTCATTCATCAATAAATGTCTTTGTAGATTAAATATTAACTTAGAATGAAGTGGTTTTGATAATATTGTTAAAAACGTTAAAATGTAGGTGATAGTAAGAAATTTAGTTAATTTTATTGCGTTTTTCGTTGTTTTTGTCGTTATTTTAATATGTAGTTTTTTTTGTTTTTTTCAATGAAAATTAAGAAAAATTCATCAAATCACACGTTTGTGACGTTGTTTAATTATGAATAACGTAACAATATCAATTTTATCACTTCTCGCATAATGTCAAACAACATAACCTCATTAGAAAGTTTATATTTTTTTTGTTAATTGTTTTTCTCTTAATGTTTACGTTTTTCCACGTTTTTAGACGTATAAAGTGGTACTTTATATACGGACAGCCAAGCCGTGAGTAATATCCATTATCTACAAGCATTATCTACGGGAAGGAGCTTGCGCCTGCGCATTTGTTTACGGAGCAGCACAAGACCGTATGAAATGCCATGCGACGTCAGTCAAACACGTCAAAAATCTCAACCTGGAACTTGAGTGGAAGAAGGATAAATAGCTTAAGCATCATGTGGCTAAACCTCATTAAACACTCAATTGATTAATCACTCGTGAGTAAAGTCCCCGTTTAGCCACCACTTAATATAATTAAATAATGTTAAAAACCAATAAATGTATAAATTTTGCCCAAAACTATTTCAATTATTACCATATAGCAATAAAACAACCACAACTTCAAAAGTCAAAATTATGCAAAAAATAAATCACCAGTAATACCATATTCCTTAAATAAATAACATTTCAAGTACACCTCTACCTACTTAGCAATATTTTGTAGTTATTCGCATAAAAACATCGAAAAAACTCTCCAATAACTGTAAACGTTATATTCAATAAACTAATACGACGTCAAAAGGCTTAATGCATCGCCGCATCATCGATAAATCGATATTTAAAGCTTCGACGCGGCGGAATGCTTCATATCTCATACCTATAGGCATAAGATGTAGTGTTTATACGTAGTACCGCATGTGTAAATCTCTCTCTGTGTGTGTGTGTGTACCTCACGCTTTATGCCTCTCGTTGCATCTCGCGCACTTCAAAGAAACTTAATCATTCTTCAGGCGTAATTGGTTCGTTTGGTCTTTCAGCGTTCCGCCGCACTCACACTCTCGGCGCGCTGCACAATTTCAAACGGCGCGTGGTTTCTTTGGCGGAACGAGCATAATGTGTGTGCATTATGCCTATAACGACATAACCAATCGCTAACAATGTTAACGTTAATGGCGGAGTAATTCGCATCATACAAACCTCTTCACGCCACTCGCATCGCACACTTAAACCACTTTTTCTTTGCTTTTATTTTGTTTTAATTTTTATTCTTTAAATTTTGCACCAAATTAAACACATTTTATATGAAAAAAAACATTTAAATATTTATCCTATTAATATATTCAAATGTTTAAATGACGTTTCCGATTCTTCGCCGGGCGCATGACTCGCACATCGCGCCTCCGAATGATTTATAAATGGGGCCCGAGGCGTTTCAATTTAAATCGACACCAATAAGTAATTAATATGACAGCCGTGACCATAATGAATGGCGGCGAGTGAATAATTTATTAATGAGTTTCAATTAATTGCCAAATTGAAAATGTTCGCCCGGATTGCATTTTGAGCGTGAAAATTTAAATACGTCTCAAACGATTTAACAGCTGATTATCGTGGTGCAGCTAGTTTTCGCTAGTAATTATTTACAACATTTACAAGATAATGTCTATAATAACGCGCGAGCGCGTCGAGTTAACATGTTTTTATATAAACAATAATTATGCACGGGCATACACGCGCTCGCAGCGCACTCACAGGTGTTAATTAACATTCTCGGATTGTGTATGCCGGCGTATTATGTTTTAATTAAGAAATTAATAATAATGGCGGCCGGATATGAAGCTAAATTTAAATTTTTCATCAAAAATTTAATTATTTCTAAAAAATTCTATTTTAAATGTTCAATCTTTAATAAACTACCCTAAATCTTGTTAATTTTGTTAAGATATTCATTTGTTTTTTCATTTTTTCCTTAAAAATGAAGAAAAATTGGTCAACATTTTGTTTTATTCACATTCTAGTGTAATTTGTAGCCATTCATCAATAAATGTTGTTGGAAATTAAATATAAACTTAGAATAAAGTGGTTTTGATAATAATATTTGAAAACACGTTAAAATGTAAGAAATAGGATAAAATTTGGTTAATTTTATTGGATTTTTTTGTTGTTTTTATAGATATTTTAATGGTTTTATGTTTTTTCATTAAAAATGAAGATAAATTCATCAAATGAAACGTTAGTGATGTTGTTTAATTTCAAAAAACGTAACAATACCAATTTTATCACTTTTCAAACAATGTCAAACATAAAATATCCGATAAATACTTGAAAAGTGATAAATAAACATCCAACAAACCAAAAAATTAAAAATCTGCTTAAAATTATTATATTTTTATCCAAAAAAACTCAAATTTCATTAAAATTTTATTTTTAAATATTTAATCCTCGATAAACTACCCTAAATTTAGTAAATTTTGTTAACCGTTTCTATTTCACCCCCCGGTGCATCCAGATATTCATCTGCGTGTAAAAACGTAATTTTATCGCATCCCATCTATAAATACTTTTAAATATGATCTAAGGTTAAGGTGTTTCACCTTTCCGCCAAAGTTTGAAGTGAAGGTGTCGCTGCACGTGTAAAAATTATAGGACTGCCGACGCATTAAAAAGTTTAATTTCGAAATAATGTGTGTGTGGATCCGTAGAAGCGTTTTGCTGCCTCCACCTGCCTCGGCTCATCGTTGAGGCGTTGAGGCGCTGCACGTCCATCGATTGTCTATTATTTCTGTATGGGCATTTGGCACGTTGCACTATAATTAATATAAAAATTATACGTCCACTTAGGGCGCATCGGCGCGCATTTTATTTGTGCGCTTTGTTTTGTGCGCCGCGCGGCGATGAGCGATTGTTTTGGGGCGGTCAAACGGGCCAGAAACAACACCGGCTTGTTTTCGGCTGGTGGTGTTTTATTTTTCCTGTTTTGGTGTGTGTTTGAAGAAGGTGCGAGAGGGGTTTCTTATTCGGGGCACGCCTACAAACGGTTTACGAATGTTACGAATTTAATCGATTCAGAATTTTATGAAGTAAGAGAAGAAAATGTTTATTTTTGAGTGAAAATTTTCAAAAACTGGCAAAGAAAGCAATTATTTAGTAATAAAAATGTTTCGTTGTAAAATTCTGCACTAATTTTAATAAAATACGTAAGAAAATGCAAATATTTTGATTTTCCAACAGTTTTTGAAGAAAAATTTAATAATATAAAGTGATTTTTGGCAAAAAATACCGGAAATGTGTGGGTACAATCAAAAAATTAAAAATTTCATCAAAACAAAGAAAAACTAAACTTTTAATTTTAAAATATCAAAGAATTCATTGATTTTTCGATAAATTTCACTGAAAAATCACTGAAATAAGTGAAAAACAACCTAAAAAACGTCTAAAAGTCTAAAATTTACAACTTTCAATGCAAAATCCCCAAGAACAAAAATAATTCCTGTTTTTACAAGAAAAAATCTAATTTCCAAGTGTTTCTAGCAAGATTTTCTTCAAAAAATCCAAAAATAAACCAATTTTGCGATTTAAAGTGACATCTTACTCAATATGATCCAATATAATCCAATTGAAACCTGTTTCATGCTTAAACTGATCATACCCACATTGAAAGCCACTAATTCCATTATAATATTTGCTCAAACTCTCCACATACCTGCGCCTTTTTCGCGCCTCAGTAAACCCCTCACATGATTATCGGCTTTCGATGCTTTATGTGCCTCACATCTCATCTACCATTAACACCACACCACACGCGGTACGCCCGGGTCCTTCGACCCAGGCTGGAAACAATTTGTAGTGTGAAACAATTTTCGGACAACTATAGCCGGGGCCTTTTTCGGGCCCGACTCATCTTTTCACCTATATATCGCAACAACGAGGCTGCGAGGAGGAGGTAGACGCAAAGGTGCCTTTCGCCCCGAAAAACGAAGAAAACTAAAGCGAAACGAAGCGAAATGAACCAGCGAGGAGAGAAGCGACTGCATTAAAGAAAACGATTTTACGCGCGCCGCCGACGTTTTAACTCTTCGGGCGAGATTGCATTTTCGGAACAAACACCTCGGCCATTGTCCGCATTGACAACAAAAGCGGTCGCGCCGGGGCCCTGCCAACATCAAAGCGTTCCGGGATTTGAAAGCATAGCATGATTTGACTTGCGAGGTGATCCACACACACACACCAAACACACACACATTGGAAAAATACCCTGTATATCCATCTGAAAGTTGAGTTGAGTTGAATAATTGCTACAAAGCGAATTATTTACTTCTTTAAACAGCTGAATAGGGAACGCACAAACAACCCAAGCATTCTTCTCTTGTGTTATGTTATGTTATGTGTTATGATACAGTGATTGTGACATCATAAAAAAGAAATTCTAAAGATACAATAATAGTTGTTTGGTGTAATGCACATAATACGCGTAATTGTTGGGGTTGGATGGACGTTCTTCCATCCAATGTGCGTAAATCATGCGCGCCATATGCACCGACACGGTGATAATCTAATTATCACAACATAGATGCGCGACGAGGGGATGTCAGACACAAGAGAAGAAAAAAATAGGGGGCTCTTCCTCCGCTTTTATCCGGCGTATATCTATTCTAATTGTGTTCTAATCGATAGGCTTCGAAATTTATCGCCCGTAATGGTAGACGCACAACGGACGCGCCACACATTCGGTTGCATTCAAATTCGTGAGGTTTCACCGAATGTTTCCAACGAGCCGTGAAACGCAATCAATTGTATAAAGGCCTAACTATGGCGCATAACCTTCGGATAAATAGGATAAATAGCAAAATCGAAAACAAGTTATTTAGCGATAAATTGTTTGTTTATTTGTGGGGTAATTTTAAGGTTATTTGGTCAAAATATTTTTATGTTTTTGTTGTTAAACACTTTGTGTGCGGAGGGAAATAGATGATTGTAGATGATTATCAGGAAGCGGAATGAATACGAATTATGAATACCGGAATTTGTTGAACAACGAACAAAGATTTGTGGCGCTGAAGTGCATACTCGTATAAATTTGATGCTGATTGATGTTATTCTATTTCCTACTAGCTCAAGAAGAAAATTTTAGTAAATGTTGACTTATTAAGAAATTAACTTAATTTTTGGACGAATTTTTGAAAGAAATTTGCGGGAAAATGTCTTCTAACGTAAGAAAATCTTTGGGTAAAAGACAAATCGTAAAATTCATGTTCGATACTTATACCGCATCTCAAAGCATAGGATCAGTGTGCATAAAACAACATACTTTTTGTTTTTTGAAACTTTTACGAGCAAAATATTGAAAATTGACATCAGAATTCAGAAGTTTGTACTAATTTCATATTTTCTTCAAGATATTTTAACAATTTTCCGATTTTTGCATTTTTTTAAGATAAAATAACCATCATACCTTGCATTTAATAAAAATTTAATGAAAAATCTATTTAAATCTCCTGAAAAAAATCATTTTCTAAAATTTCTTCTTAATTTTTTTTCTATTTCAATTTTTTCTTCAATTTTTACTTCTAAATAACTTTGTTTTAAATATAGGTATAGATATAGATTGCATGTCAAAATATTGATATTCCCCGTATGTAAGTAGCGCGTTTTTATTCAGTTATTTTGTTGTTGTATTATATTTATTACCGCTTGGCGCGCTTTGTTTCGCTGGCGTCGTTTGCGTTCGGAGTTTTAATGGCGCACACAATATTCGACGCAGGGTTCGTTTATATTCCATTATTCTAATGCTTTTTTACGAAAACGAGCGTTTCTTCGCTCGGCCACGCACGTTTCGAGCAAACATATATCAACTAATTAAATACGTATTAGAGATAAACGTGTTGGTAAAGGTATACCTATATGCGAGCGCGCCACTCACGAACGCCACAGAAATGGGAAAATGAAATGCGAGAAACAACACCAAACAAAACACCACACAAAAATATACAAATATTATTTCGGTCGGCATGCATCTATAAATTTTATTTAATTATATAGAATTTTCGTGGTACTTAAAGAGTAATTAATTATTTTTGGTCATACATTCGTGACGTCACGAGATTTGAAGGATTTTGGGAGGAATTATAAGAGTTTTACTACTTTATTGCTGCAATAAAGTATTTTTTACTTTTACGTTGTTTTTTTCACGTTTTTGAAACACAAAAAGGGGTATTTTATACGCCAATGGCCAATCCAGTGACTAAAGTACTTTAGTCACGAGCTTTAGTCACGGCATGGAATTTGCGCATGCGCATTTGCTTACAGTGTAGTACAAGACCACAGTGTGGAAGCAAATTCCGAGGATTTATAATAAAAAGTTGAAATACAAAAACCTCAACGTGGAAATCGAGTAAAAGCAGAAAAAATGGCGTAAGTATCACGTGTTTAAACCTTATTAAAGTGTCGTTTAGCGCACTTGATACTTAATGTACTATTAATCACTAATTTTACCAAATTTTGCAAATAATAAATCAATTATTTGCATTTTTTACAAAAATAAGTTTTGTATCCATTGAAACCTGATATTTTTCAAAAAATTTTAGCAGCACAATCATTTTCCTCGTAATTCAAGCAAATTTTTATTACTTTCGATAAAATATCCTCTTATTTAATAATAATTGACACTCGTCTCGGCTATAGACACCAGCGAAAAAGAGGTGTTTAAAATCTTGTGAGGTTATGATGAGTTTGCATCGTTTTTCAGTTAGCTGCATACACGCGCATCACGCATGTAATTATTAATGTACATAATCAAGCATGCGTATTAAACGTGGCGGCCCTCTAAAGACCCGATGGAAGAATAATCGCCGCGTCGTTTCCAATAAATATTTATGAGGAGCGCGCACCGACAAAACGCCGCATTGTGCCCGTAATGTAAGCGCGTTTGTGTGGATGAGTGTATGTGTGTGTGTGTGTGTGTGTGGAGGCTCTCTGTCTGCTGGTTCTCTGAAAGCGTCTCAGTGAAGGCCTCAAAGAGGGCACGGCCCTTTTCAAAGCGGTTCTGGTCTTTGACTTCGAGCGCCCGACCTGTGCCGCGGCCGGCTTTTCGTTAATCGCGCGTCTACTGTATAAATTAATTACGCCACCATTTTTCTTCGAAGCCCGCAGACGCACGGTGAGGTAATGTGAAGGGATGGGTAGGGAAATGAAGTTTATTAAGTGTTATCAAAATGGTGTGCATTAAATTACCAAGTTTTTTGATTTCCAAGACTTTTCTAAGCAAAATATTGCCAGGTTTGGTAAATTTTTATCTAAATTTTTGTTTTTTTGAATTATTTTGATATTTTAATAGTAAGGGTCAAATACAAATCGTAAAGATCATGTTTGACACTTATACAGCGTCTCAAAGCATAGGCAGAGTGGGCATAAAACAACATAGTTTTTGTTTTTTAAAACTTTTACGAGCAAAATATTGCAAATTTTGGCAAAATAACATCAACATTTTTCTTTTAGTGAATTTTTTAAATATTTTAATGTTTATCTTATTAATTTTATGTTCGATACTTATACCACATGTCAAAGCATAGGCACAGTGTGCATAAAACAACATACTTTTGGTTTTTGAAACTTTTACGGGCAAAATATTGCAAATTTCAACAAATCTCTACCTAAATTATATTTCCAGGTAAAAAAATTATATTTTGCTATCCTAATATTTGGGCCAAAGAAATCATAAAACCAATTTTTAATTTCCTAATGAAAAAAATGATGTTCGATGCTTATACCGCATCTCAAAGCATAGATTCCTACTACTCCTATACAATTTTCTATCTTTCTGGTGTTGATGTAGCCAATAAATGTCTGATTATTTGGTCTCACCACAATACTCATCATAATAACAGAGCATTTCATGCGCCGACACTTATCGTAATCAGACGAGCGTGATGCAAACGGCGCGCACAGCTTTAAATTAAACAAATCATCGTATTCGAAACAAATTCACACTCTATGATAGAACAATTAAATTAATTAAAGACGACTAATTAACACAGGGTGCAATTATCTCGCGTTCTGCTTGACGGCCTCAACTCCCCATGAACGTCATATAGAAAATCACGCATTAAACTATAATCATAATAAGATATTAACTTAACTTAACTTAAGTTAACTTAAAGTTAACTTAAATCAAATTACAAAACATGTTTGCAAAAAGTACAAGACGACAATAATTTCATGTTTGAAGATGTAATTTTTCATGTGTCATGTGTCTCGGTGTCTTTTTTTATGATTAAACATTAAATAAGTACATTAAGTATGGTGTTAATGCAATAATTATGAATTATTTTAATTAAAATGTAGAAAATTTAATGAGATACCATTCTATTTTTATTTTCATTTGGAATTTTTCTCGTTTATTTCTGTATTTTTCAACTTGACGCATAATGGGCAACATTTTGTTTTATGATAATTAACCGGCACTTTGGTCGCATACTAATGCTGCTACCATGTAATCAAATTCTAATTAGATTATTCCTACTAGACAAGTAGCAATGTCTACCGAAGAAGCCGACGAAATCATTTTTTTCCTATTTATTAAAAAAATACTAGCCAAGGACATAAATTTAGTGACATGTCACGCATGCGCGTTATGCAAATCAACATAACCAATCAAACAATGAATTTTTAAGAATAAAACGGTAAATACCTGAGAATCGGCTATTTAAATATCGGTTACAGTGATATTACATGCCTATTGTTCATTTTATCTGTGGGTGGTCAATCCTGGATGACAATGCTGACATATTTGACAATAGGAATTCACTCTACAAGCGTGGAACGTCGGGAATGTGTTGAATTACTTCTCAAAACCAATCAAACAACTCAACAACACCAAAGTAATGAATCTCACCAACATGCATATTTTTCTGTCAAATGTCATATGAATGTCATATGAATGACAGATTTAAAAATATCACATGTGAGTTCCTTTTTTTCTATATGATCCAAACCCAAATAGACGAATTCTAAGCCAAAGCTGCTGGAGCAGAGAGCACTTTCGAGCACATTAATAATAAAAATGCGCCGCGGCCGCAGCGGCGCGCGTGTAAAGGTAAAGATCGCGTTAGTTTTGTAATATTATTAGTGAGTAACGACGAGATGAAAGGTGCCGCAGCGCGCCGCTATCCCGATATCGGATCTCACGCTTCGTTTCGATCACGCATCTCGCTACGATTCCCCCTCGCCGGCACCGCACCGGCCGACGAAGCCGAGAAATGTATGCATGTGCGCTGCGCGCAGAGAACTCATCTGTGTAATATGACTTGTTACTTACCTGCTTATGTTGGATAATGATCACACCAATCGCACCGACACTGCTGCGTTCTGTCTTTATGAACTCATTGAATACACACTGCACACGCGGAATACGTTTCACTTCACTTCTGCCATTTTGAAAAGGAACGGTTGACGCAGCAGGACGGACCATGATGCATTGCGCGTGGTGTATTGTGGGTTGCGGCGAAATCTAAAGCTAATGTCATACGTGTTATAAAATTAACACTATTGTTTTATATTTTTATTAATATTATACAATAAAATGCATAAATATAAATTAAAATGTTGTTGGTATTGTTATTTAAATAAATTAATATGATTTATTTATAATTATATGTTTATTTTCTTTGATTTAATGTATGCTAGGCAACCAAACAGACAGAAAAAGTAATAAATAATGAATAATTAACATTTTGTTGTAAATATTAGCATTATACGATTAGATATTTGCATATTGTACTTCGACGCAATAGTTTATGATCACATCTCGTTAAAATGCTGTAAACCGAATGCAAATCAATGTCGTAAAAGTTTACACGCTGTCGTTGGGATTAATTAATTAGTTTTGTTAATTAATTGCTGTTGGCAGATGGTTTATTGATTAAATAATAGTTTAACTATTTCTTTAAGGTGTGTTTGTTATGTTTTACACTATAATTTTAACTTAAAATCATTTATATTAACAATTTTACGTTTTTTGCGTTTTTACTTACATAACCTTAAACTTAAACTTTAATAATGAAAATATCATTTGTTTTAAACAATAATTTAATGCCTACTAACATAATACTTACCCAAAGAACAAGTTGAGGCTGCAAAACATAAAATAAATATGAAAACGTCATATTCACGAACATAACCTCAATTACAAGCATCCCGCACGTAAAATTCAGCTATTCAGCGCTGTGGCTGCGTTATTTTGAGTCCGTTTTTGGGCACACCTATAAAACGCTATGTGACAGACGTTTGTGTTTGCTTTTTATGCCGGGATCACGACGTTTCGCGTCGCGTAAAGAAGCTTTTTAATAACCTGCGCGCCGCGCTGCCACTGGAAATGCCCTCTCGACCGTCGGGGCTGCCGACTTTCATTATGTCCCATCGTAAATTACGCGTTTATGGCTCATTTAAACGGATTTTATTTTTGCGCGAAACCGCGAGCGCTCTGAAATTAGTAAAACAAATATAGTAGCGTACTTTACTACCCCCCATACATACGTGCATATGAAAATGCATACATATACGGCGTATAAAATGCGGCAGACGCACAGGTTATGGTAACAATTTTAATATGTTCGTTTCGAGCGTTCGCCGAGCATTTTTACATGTTTTAAGTTGATTTTTTGTGCGCTCGCAAAGCTCATTTGCTCGGCGGGCTGTGTGTGCTTTATAAATTTAATGATATTCATAAATTGTGGTATTAAGTAATTACAAGGGGCACTTTATGTTTATTTATTTCCACGCAATATCGATTGCGGCATATTTTCAGAGGCGAGTTGAGAGGAAAACAACAGTGGCGGCACAGGAAAAAATTATTATGACTTAAACTTAAATTTTATAAAATTTAAGGTTATGTAAGGTTAAATAAGGTTAAAAACTATTTTTGTAACCTAAAAAATTTTGATTTTTATCTTAAATCATCATTTTTATTAATATATTAATAAATATTTATGTTTTTTGATGTTTAAAGCAACATAACCTCAATTTAAAGCTATTTTAACCAAAATATTGCTTTTAAATCAATATTTTTATTGTTTTTAACAAAAAACTAATAAAAATTAAGTTAAAGCTCAAAAAACGTCAAAAAGCATCAAATTCAATATTTTCCTAAACATAACCTCAATTTAAAGCTATTTTAATCAAAATATCAATTTTTTAAATCAATATTTTTGTTGTTTTTAACAAAAAACTCATTAAAAATGCAGTTAAAACTAAAAAAACGTCAAAAAACGTAAAATTCAATATTTTCTAGAACATAACCTCAATTATAAACTATTTTAACCTAAAATCTGCTATTTTACACAAATTTTTAATATTTTGAGTTTTTTATTGAATACATTTGATTTTTGAAATATTTTTGGTCCCCGTCTATGTCCTTCCGACTAAATGCATTCCTCTTCCCCTCCACACTGGGTGTTCGTGTGTTTAGCGCATAATAACACGTGTACCCGACGGCTGCGCGACGTTTGCATGACATCAGTTTTCCAACTTTGAAGCCTTTCATGCGCTGCGCGCACGATAGCCGCCTTCATGAGCAAACATTTTAAACACGGTAGCTGCTTATTTGCATGCGAAAACTGAGTGTAATTGCCACGGAAAACTTTGAGCCTCCAGAACAAACAATATCGTTCATATACCTACAATAACTGCATAAGTAAACGCAATCGGAAATCGAATCCGATTTGAAAACGTTTTAATATTTTTATTTATTTACATACAATGTGTTTTTATTTATTTTTTTATTTAAAAATTTTTGAAACACTCTGTATATAAATTAATAAATTATAGGATTAGCGATATAGATGCAATGTAGTGCAATTTGCATAATTAATAAATTTTACCGTTGAAAATTAATTAGGTTCAATTTTTTTCATAATGTGAATATTTGGTTGCCTAGATTTGAATTGGTTGGAATGAAGTCATTTCAGATTGAGTTCTGCGCAGCCTGCGGATACATTTTTTAATCAAATTTATTTTGAATCCAATTCCGACAATGACATTTCAATTTCCAGCCACGTGCAGTCTGTAGGTACGCAATCATTAATCAAACACCGAAATTATTGTGCATTGTGTGCGCGTGCGCGAGCGACTCACAGTGTATAATACTATACTACACTTGTATGCGTATGATATCTTATAATAATACCTATTACCTTCATTGTTGGCGTGTTGGAGATCTTTAGAGATGTGAACGTTTTTATTACGATTTAATTAATCGCTAATAGGTTTGTTGTTGTGCGAAGATCAAAAGCGTCCGCCGAGGTAGAAATTTCGGTCGTATAAAAACTAAAAACCTATAAAATTTCGGTTTTATTATTAAATTTATATGAGATTTATATGAGGAGTTATTAAATATTAAAATTGTTGATTTTATTAAGGAAAAAATTGAAATATTTATATACAGAGTGAATTAAATTATAAAATATGTTTTATTTTAGGTTATGTTGGGTTTGAAGTGATTTTGTGTGTGTTTTGGGTTGCCTAGGCATGAATAAATGATATTTAAGGTGTTAAAATGTGATTTTATGTATAAAAACGTTTAAAAATGCTGTAAAATTTTTTTTTATGAATATTTAGCTCAAAAAGTGTTAAGTAGGCTTAAGAGTATTAGTGGGCGGGGCATAAACTCACTTAAATGCGTTTTTATTAAGTTTAAATAAGAAAAACATAAAATTTTGAGGTTAATTCAATGTTTTACTTATTATTTTAGTGTTTTGTGTTGCCTACATTCAAATTTATATATTTTTGACATTAAAACCTAAACAACTTAAGTCACTTACCCAAAATAACCTACTTTTAAACATTATAAGCATAATACCAAACCGGAAATGACTTTAAACTAAATTAATTCCACTTCACCCGCTGTAATTTCATGCCATTTGGAAGTGACATTAGTGGGCGTGGCATAAACACACTCAAAACGCTCAAAAATAGACAAAAAACACATTTTTTCATTTTTTTATTTTATTTTTTACTTAATGATGAGTATCACGTAATGATACCGTTTTAATTCGACGTTTATAAGCATCGTTACGTTACGTTATCCACCCTCTTCGGGAGTTAGATGATGGCACATCCGCCGCACTTAAAACTGGATGCTTAATTTAATACAAAGCATCGAGCAATGCTTATTACGTGTGGGCGTCGGTTTCGGGGCGGAGGGTAATAAAATATCAACTTGTTTGTGCGTCGCTAATGACGGGAACGTATGGCTATGGATAAATTATTGTTTTTTTCGGTGCAATTGTGTCGCTAATCACAAAACGAGCACACGACAAATTACATTACATTAGACATTAATGTATTGTATGTGTGTGTGTGTGTGGGTGATGTTGGTTGCCTACGTATTTAAATATTTAAATTAAATGAGAGATTTATGTTATTTAATGTATGATAACACGCAAAGTAATAAAGATTTTTGTTTTTACACGTAGAAATCAACAAAAATAATAAAAATAGTTTATTAATGATCAAGTGAATAAACGGGGACTTTAGTCACGAGTGATTAATCAATTGAGTGTTTAATGAGGTTTAGCCACGTGTTGTTTACGCATTTTTTTCTACTTACACTTGCAAATGCGCAGGCGCAAGCTCCGACCCGTAGATACCTAATACCCGTATATAATGGATACCTATTACTCACTACTTGACCGTACGTATATAAAATACAATTTTAGCAAATATGACTTAAGTAAGTGACTTAAGTCACTAAACTGACTTAAGTCAGTTACCTACCTATATCCTACATTCAACACATATTTAATTATGTAAAACTTAAGTCAAAGTAAATTTTTTCGCAAAAACATTACTTAACTTAATACCTATCTAGTGGTTAAACAGAGACTTTACTCACGAGTGATTAATCAATTGAGTGTTTAATGAAGTTTAACCACGTGATGCTTAAGCTATTTTTTCTACTTTCACTTTAATTCCACGTTGAGTTTTTGTATTTAAATTTTTTATTTTAAATCTTTGAAGGCAAATGCGCAGGCGCAAGCTCCGTCCGTAAATAATACCCGTAGATAATGTATATTACTCACGGCATGACCCTCTGTATATAAAATACCATTTTTATGTCTAAAAACCAAGAAAATAAAAAATATAAAAAAAGTCATAAAATAATAAAAACAAATCAATAGTAGAAATCTTCATGCTTAGTTGGTTGCATACAGACTTCATTCAAAAGGTTATGTTTAACAATGATTCACTGCCGAGTTTATTACACGCAATTTCCACCCGAAACTAAAACAATAAATAAAGCACAATGCGCGTCAGTTTACAACCCGACAATCGAATTTCGTTTCTTTGCGTTCAACGCAGTAATTAAAATAATTTGCGCCGTTCAAATCGTCCAAAATGTTTATGAAGTAATTAAAACTGTATAAAACCGCAATTATTCACAATATATGTACG